TACGGGTAATCACAATTGGTAATCAATGGAGTATTACTAAGTTAATCCTTGTTTCTTTTTTTTATATTGCATATGCGATACAAGGAATCAACATATGGAGATTAAATATTCTGCTGAATTGTGAAAACCATTGTTAAATCAAACATCTGCGTCGATTATTATTATACGTTGTTTCCACGCCGGTTATGTTAAACTCAGTGAACGTAAGGAATAAGCAGTTATAGTCACTCAATTTGTTCAGACGAAGTAGTAATATTCGTTTTTCTGCTTTTTTGAGAAAACAGAGAAATAACACAAGGTAACATTCTTTGGCAGCGTGAAACCCGTCAAAGCAGTAGTTGGGCCACGCACAGTCCTCGATCACGCTGTCTTAGATTCGCTGCTTTCAAGACATGTCAACGTTTCGTGAAATCTTCAGACAAATTCAGGACGGATCGTTTTACTGGATGCATTATGACACAAAAGCATGTTGATTTATTTAAGTGTATACGCATTTGGTTTTTAATGAGTAGACCGGTCAAATCAATTGTGGAATGTAATGCCTATGTCTACAATAAGTTTTTTTTTGAGTTCAGAACCTTTGACATCTTGTAACACATTCAAGTAAATACAAAAAACACGCTAATATAGGGAGATTGTTTATTATGTGTAACAACATTCTAGTAGATATAGTCGTAGTCTTTGGTAATTATTCAATACAACGCAATTATAGAAAACAGAATAATAGAATATTTTCTTGTTACATGTTAGATTGTGCGATTTCTTTGCCAGTTTGGCTAACTTGTTTGCAATTCAGGTAGACCCATAATTAGACTTGCTAGCAGCAACATACTTGTATTGCTTAATCCCAACAATCTACTACACTTTCCCTTTCCCGAAGTGAGGCGAATTTATTTTTATGTGAAAATGCTGTTTTGTTTTCGATGAACTACAATGCAATCAATTAAAAACGGTATATGCCCATGTTTATTTTCTTCGTCATTTTAAAAATAGAGCATATCAGCGAATGCTTTATTCATGGATAAGCGACAAATGGGGTTATGGTTTACCGTATATATTTAATTATTTTTATCTTTTTATGTTATGTGGAATGTTTAATCTAAATTGTAATTGTTTTCAGGATGTCAGGTGGCTTTTATAATTACTGTTGTGTCAGATGAACACTTCATATCAGCTGTGAAAAGCGTCAATGTTCAAAGTTGTCGATACATATTTTGCTGTACCAGCTGTTGTAATGCCAGAGTAAGAGCTAGGAAGGTAATTCTGTTATGTCTTGTTCTTTTTACATATATTTTCTTCCTAATGGAGTGAACTCGTAAACGTTAAGGTCGTTCTTAGGGCCAAGGGTTTATAGACTGAGACAGTACCAGTGTTATTTTGATTATTGTTAACAACTTTCTAATTTGTCACTAGGATATTGCCACTATGTCAGTTATGTACACATTATCCTTCGCTGTCGTCGCCTCGATTACAGTGGTGAGTATTCTATGTTGTTCTGAAATCACTACAGTTCATTTTACGACAGCCATAATCAATTGCCACGGCGTAGAAACAAAACGGTATTGACTTGCGCATATGATGCACCAATTACACACAGTTCCAATTCAATTTCTATTCTGTGCTGCACAATCCTGTACGTATTTATCCTGATTCACCACATGATCTCAATCGAATCACTGTATTGGCTGTCGTCTGGGGGAATAGGGAACTGCTTTCCGATTACCACGTTTTCGACATTCTATTCAAGTAAAATATATTATAATGAAAAAAGTATTAGGTATCGTGATGACGTCATGTCAAGGCTCAATCTTGTCATGTTGTTTTAGTCCCCAAATACAGCTGTGTTTAAACTTGGCGTAATGATCAATTATAATAAAACATTATGTGTATTTCACGTGTTGCGGTAAACTATTCGTGATAATTAACCTTTCTATTTTCCATTCTCCAGCATGCGAACACGATAATGCACAATGGTAACTAGTCTGTTGTTAATTATTATAATTCATTCTTTAAACAAGTAATTTTGTGAAAAAAATACGCCAGACTTTAAATATACATTGCATCGTCCAGTGAAAATGGGAATGATTAATGACGGTTAAAGATTGAGGTGTGTATGGGTTAACAGACGTGCTGAGTGTGGGTTAACGGGTGTGATGATTAAGGGTTACCGGGAGTGCTGAATATGGGTTACCGGGTGTGACGAATATGGGCTAACTAGTGTGATGAATATGGGTTACCGGGTGTGCTGAATATGGGTTAACTAGTGTAATGAATAAGGGTTACCGGGTGTGCTGAATATGGGTTACCGGGTGTGACGAATATGGGCTAACTAGTGTGATGAATATGGGTTACCGGGTGTGATGAATATGGGTTAACTAGTGTGATGAATATGGGTTACCGGGTGTGCTGAATATGAGTTAACTAGTGTGATGAATATGGGTTACCGGGTGTGCTGAATATGGGTTACCGGGTGTGATGAATATGAGGTAACTAGTGTGATGAATATGGGTTACCGGGTGTGATGAATATGAGTTAACTAGTGTAATGAATAAGGGTTGCCGGGTGTGCTGAATATGGGGTAACTAGTGTGATGAATATGTGTTACCTGGTGAGCTGAATATGGGTTAACTAGTGTGATGAATATGGGTTACCGGGTGTGCTGAATATGGGTTAAATAAATATGCGTGTCGAATCTAGGTTAATGGTTTACGGGCGTGTGAATATGTACGGCTACAACGTCCGAGTTGCTATACCTTAACTGAATAATACTGCAAATTTTGCGAGATTTGGGTGCTGTATTGCAGCACCATCGCGTGTTGGGGGGGGGGGGGGTTCATAGTGTACGGATAACAGGGCATATCATAGTAAACAACGTTGTTCGAATCCAGGTTTTTGTTAACATTTTAAAAAAAATTAACCATTTTTAAATAGTGGGTGTGAAAATAAAAATGAATGCATGAGCATGATGATGAAATCGAGTAATATCACGGGGGGGGGGTCTTCTTCTCCACGGGGTCTCCACACTTGTCAGGGGGGAAACTCGTCTCGTCTCTCTATCGCGTCCCCTTGAGGTATGGGATCGGGAAAGCCACTTATACTTTACAGTCAAATAAGACGCATACAACGAAATACGGTTCAACTCTCGTCTTAGTCGGTCAATCGAGCATTCTATAAGACACGGCGCCCTGGGGAAAAATCCCCAAGACTATCGCAAGGCTGACCCAAGACTCTTTTAGACTGCGTCAACACTCGCCCCAAGGCTCTCCAGGACTGCTCTCGGCTGCGTCTATCGTGCTGTGCTCCCCAAGACCAACTCAAACTCTCTTTATTCATTTTCAAAACTCTAACCAATTACAAAGCAGTAAAAAGACTCTAGGGCGTAACCTTCAATCATAAAGCCAATCACACTATGTACTGAATACGTCATATCTTTTGATTAATCGTTCACTACATTAATAACTATGGATATCAACTATCAGAATCTTAGTCAGTATAGCGGCGGATATCTGGTAATTAGTTCCAAATCACTGAGCCAAGTTCCGTCTAAAACTTCAAATAGGCCTAAACGATGACAGACATAACACAGCAATTCACTAATAATCAACTAATTAAGTCGGTCAACAGATACGCGAAAACAAATTCATGACAGTCACTACATCGTATTTTCTTTGTGTTTGGTTTAACAGTTTGCGTTACTAAGAATCGCTTCGTCGTAATGCAGCAGAGGAAAATGTGGAGCGAATCTAAGACTTGGTGCGAAGATCGTGGAGCACGACTGGCCGTTTTAGATACGAATGAGAAGGAC